CTACGTACGAGCTTGCCCCGCCCCTCCGTCTGCACACCTCCGCCCCTCATCGTCCTCGTCGCCCTCTTCCTCCCCCCTCCTCGCCCTCCTCGTCATCAGTTCCCTCCTCCCCCCGCTCCGTCGCAACAGCCGCTGGCACGGCCCGAAGGCGTCATCGACCTCGGCGCCCTTCCCCCCCACCTCCCCCTCGCTGCCCACTACCCCCTCCCACCCCACCCCCGGGTGCCCGCACTCCCGGCTCTTCCCTCGACCTCCGCGCCCTGGCCAGGACTCGAACAAGAGTACAGGTCCACCTTGCTCCTCTGCGTGCTTTCCTCGTTTCTGGGAGGGTTGGAACAGATGTGGGAGAGTGGGAAGCAGGAGGAGAACGAGGAAGAGGAAGAGAAGCATGGGGAAGAAGAGAAGGAGGAGGAGCAGGAGGAGGAGGAGGAAGCAGGAAGAGGAGGCGGGAAGAGGAGGAGGGCGAGGAGGGGAGGAACGAGGTGGATTTGTTTACCTGTCCTCCTCTGACCACGCTCCCCCGCTGCCCCGCCGGGGCTCCAAGGGGCCCCCTGGCCTGGCTCCAGAGAGCGCCCGGAAGCCGCACCCGATTGCCCCCCCTGGAATGGCCCCAGCAGCCTCGCCCTTCTTAGGTGGGTTGAACGCCTCCCAAAAACGGACGGGGTCGGAGGATCACGCCGCACCGCCGATGCATCCGCGATGCATCGGCGAAACGGCGAGACGGAGAGGAACAGGCTCCAGATCACGCCGCATCGCCGACGCATCGGCGATGCCGCACCATCCTCCAGACCCGTCCGATCTGGCCCCAATTGGGAGGCCTGGATGAGTGAATGGGGTCGGCGCAACGCTGGAGCGATCCCAGGCAAGAGTGACATGTGGCGCGCGGCTTCAGGGGGGCCGCGGGCGGGCCAAAGCCAATCGCGGTAGGCAGTGTTGGGGGACCCCCATGGGCCCGCACCAAAGGTCCCCTCCAGCAAAGTCGCGTAACCGAAAGGGGGGAAGAGCAGATCGCGATCTGAGCTCTGAACAATCCAGTGGAGGTGGGGAGGAGTGGAGGGCGCTGCCACTCGGCAGAGCTGTCCCAGACTGTGGGAATTGGCGCGCAGCGCGGCAGCGCCTGATCGGACATCTGGGGGGGCTTATTTGTACAAACAAAGCGCCCCCCAGCGCAGACAACGACTGTGCAAAGAAGAGAAGAAGATACCAACTGCCGTGTCTGACGTCGGGAGTTATTCTGCAAAGCCAGAGAAATTTGCAATTCTTGGGGGTGCATCTTTCGCTTCTGCCGGCTTCCGCTGACGGAGCCGTCCCGTTCCACCGAAGAAGGGAGGACAACTGTTCTGTCCCTCCAAGGCGAGGCCCCTGGCGAAAACCGGCAGAATGCGGCAGAAATAAAACGGCGGAAGGCAGCGGAAGGAAAAGCGAGACGTAGACATGCTTGGATTCGAAATTCCCATCATCGACCACATAGACGGTCGAGTCGCCATCTGATTCCTCCTGAAGCCACGACCTTCGCTGCCCCGCACCAAGCCCAACGAGCGCCAGCACAGCGGACGCTCCAGCGCCCCAGGAAAGCGCGCGGACGAGCACGCACCTGTACCGAGCCGAACCCCCTCTTCCTCTTCCTCTTCCTTTTCCGCCTCCTCCTCCTCCTCCTCCTTCTCCGCCTTCTCCTCATCCTCATCCTCATCCTCATCATCACCACGACCATCATCAGAGCATGCACCTCGTCATGGCCACGACCATTATCGCAGCGTTACCATCGCGACGTCAAGGAACATACACGTCAACAGCACCATCATCACCATCAGCACCACCAGCACCAGCATCAACAGCATCGTCATCAGCATCATCACCCACAGCATCACCACCATCATCCGTATCAGCATCCTCATCGTCATGACCGTCATAACCCCCTCTGATCGTCGTCATCACCCGCATCAGCAGCAGAAGCAGCACAACCACCCACCAGTATTATCGTCATCATCATCACCACCATCCTCGTCACATGCATCCACATTAGCTGTACCGCAACCATCGTCACCATCATCATCACCATCGCGGTCATCAGCATCGTTGCCATCCTCCGCATCATCACCACGACCATCATCAGCAACAGATTCATCACCGTCGTCGTCAACGCCGTCGTCGTTGCCAGAACCGTCCCCGTCATCAGCAGCACCATCATCATCCTCATTCTCATCATCAGCATGTTCATCATCATTACCGTTTCGGTCCCTGTGGGACTGTCGTGACTGGGGCAGGTCGCTCCTGTCTCACTCGCAGGTGTTGCGGCAGGCGGCGCGTTACAGCAACACGTGTCGCAGTGCATTGCGAGTTCCGTGCTGGTACTGCACACCAGCGTGGTCGATCCCACGCCTGTGCCCACGTGGACGTCGATTGTCCTCCTACACCCGAGCGACCACAAATCGCCATCATCGTCAAAACGCACAAGAACAACAAAAACAACAAAAACAACAACCACCACAACAACAACAACAACAGCAGCAACAACAACTGCAGCACTAACAGCAGCAATAACCACAACAACAAGAAGAGCAACAACAACAGCAACCATGGGGGGAGGGGCAACGGACAACGGGAAACGTCCGGTGCCACCGCAGCCGATTCAGACCGAAGCGTTACAAATATTCGATCATGGCTTCTCCCAGAACAAGCACGCGCGCTCCGCAGGGGCTCCCATGCACGAGCTCCTCTAAGGAATCCTTAACAAGGAATCCTGAATAAGCACTATTCACTTAGGAGCCCTTAATCACGAGTCTTAACTGAAGAATCCTGAATAAAAAGGAGTCTGTACTCGGGAAGTACGAGAAATTCCTGAGGAAGGGGCTAAAACTAAACAAGCCTTAGTGAGAAAGGACACTTTACTAAGCAATCCTCAAGAAGGAATGTTTGATAACGCATCCTTCGTACGGAATTTCCGCTGAGGAATCTTCAATAAAGAATATGTGATAAAGAATCCATGGTAGGGAGACTGTATTAAGAAATCCTCAATAAGGAATCTTCGCTGGGGAATCCGGAAGTAGACCTTTAAAATGGAATCCCATGACAGGAATAATCGCCAATGAAGAACTTTACTAAAGACCGCCTCGTAGGGAATGTGGACTAATGAAAATAAGGACCGTGTAATAAGGGATCCTGAATAAGGAATCTGTATTCCGAAATCCTCGGTAAGGAATCTGCACTAAGGAATCCTTATTCAGAAATCGTTACCATGGAATCCTGAATAAGGCACCTTTACTCAGAAATTTGCATAAGGAATCTTACTAAGGTAACCTTAATAAGGGATCTGCACTGAAGAATCCCAAATAACGAACTACCCCGGAATACTCAATGAGGAACCTTCGCCAAGGACGCCTCAATGAGGAATGGATATTCGGAAATCCTTTTGTAAGGAATCTGGACTAAGGACTCCTCAATAAGGAGTCTGTAGTAGGGAACCCTCAGTAAGGACCCTTCACTGAATTCGTGCTGAAAACCTGTAGTAAGGAATCCTATGTAAGCAATCTGTGCTCTGGAAGCGTCAATGAGGGACTTTACGAAGGAATCCCCACTGAGGAACCATTGCTCAGGAATCCTGAGTAAGGAATCTTTTTGTTTTACAAAGGGGTCCGTACTAAGGAATGTGTACTACGGAATCCTCGGTAAAGAATATGTACCAAGGAATCCTTGAAACGAAAAAACGTTATCAAGGAATCCTTTCGTATGGCATCTTGATTCAGGATTTCTTACCAAGGATATCTGTATCAAGGTATATTGAGCAGGGAATAATGTCTTAAGGAATCCGAACACTTGACTGAAGAACCCATGATAAACAAGATGTCCGCAGAAAGTCTGAAAAGGAATGTTGAAGAAGGAGTCCTTACTAAGGAGTTTGCACTGACGAATCCTTGGCAACGTGTCTGTATCAAGGAATCCTCAGTAAGAAATCTTCACTGAGAAATCCTTGTTACGGAATCTTCAATAAGAAATCCATTCTAAGGTCATAATAAGTCGTCAAGGAATCCGGTGTAGAAATGTCAACTAAGGAATCCGTACTGAGAAAGCACTAAGGAATCCGTACTAAGAGATCTTTACAGAGGAGTTCTGAATAAGGAACATGTACTGAAACTCCATCAGCGAAGGATCATCACCAAAGAACCCTTAGTAAAGGACCTACCAAAAAAATCATCTGTAAGGAATTTTCACGAAGGGGTCCTTAGTAAGGGATCTGCACTAAAAAATCCTCAACCAAAGATCTGCACCCAAGGGCTCTTTCATACGGAATCTGAAATCATGAATCCTCAGTAAGGAGTATTTACTGAGGGGTCTTTAGTCAGGAATCGTTACTCAGGAATCCTCAATAAAGTTTCTTTACCAAGGAGTCATTCATACGGAATCTGTTCTAAGAAGTCCTCAATAAGGAAACCTTTGCCTAAAAAACCCGCAATGAGGCAATACTAACCAGCCCCAAGCTGGCCCAAGAGAGCCCCCGGAAGGACCCATGACGCCTCAGAAGCCCCGGATGGCCCAAGATGACCGCATGAAATTCCCCAGACGGCCGAGAAGGCCCCAAGACGGCCCAAGAGATCAACAAACACGGCCCTAGAGGGCCCCAAAAGGGTTCCAACAGACTCGCAAGGCTGCCCAACAAAAGTCCAGGACAGCCCCGATACGGCCCGAATGAGCTCCGTGGAACGAAAAGGCGTCACATGTAGCACCCTTCCTCGCCTTCCTCTTCCTCCTTGTCCTGCCGCTCCTTCTCACATCACCGTCACAAGCACCACCACCACCATCATCATCATCATCATCATCATCATCATCATCATCATCATCAGCAGCAGCATCATCAGCATCATCAGCATCATCAGCAGCATCAGCATCATCATCATAATCATCATCATCATCATCATAATCATCCTCATCATCATCATCATCATCATCATCATTATCATCATCATAACCATCACCATCACCATCATCATCACCATCATCACCAG